TAAAATGGGTCATATATTGCGTCATATGAGTTTAGTCGATATTGTTTCATGACCAAAAGTGAAATAAGTGATCCTACAATATGTAAAAAAAATAAAACAAATAAGAATTTAAGTTCAAAATTTCTTTATGCAATACTTTTAAAATGACTAAGTTTAATTAAATGAATTTTTTTAAAAACGATTTTTTTTAAAATCTTTGTCAAGACTTCTTTTTTCAAAGTTAAAATTGCATTTTTTTGCCATTATTTAAAGCTCGGATTTCAGAAGGTTATGAAAGATTCTAACCAAAACATTTTCAGTTAATGGTTTGTTGTATTTTACAATCTATTAAGGTAGAGCATGATGTGACTCGGAGGATAAAGCACTCGCCTCCCACTGTGGTGATACGGTTTCGGAATCCCAGAAATGGCTGATCGATATGAATTCCACATCCGGCTCGCACTGAGCACATAAAATATACTCAGTGGTCGGCGGGTCATGGGTTAGAGATCCCTTGCAGTTAATCTAATCATGGGAGGTTTCGTGGTTTTCCTCTCCATGTAATGCAAATCCAGATTAGTTTCCTCAAAAAGTCCTACACGAAGGCACATTTCACTCAATATTTGATCCAGAAGTTTTCTTGTGTTCTAAATCGAGTTTAAAATTACTAGGCTACTGAATTGAACATTGGTAGTAGTAAACTAAATATTTGGTCTGCGGTTCTACGGCTTGTTTAGAATAAAATATGAAATCTATTAAGAGAAATGTTATCTCTGGTACTAAAAGTAGTTATTAACTTCAAATAAAAATTTAAACAAACTCATACATTTTGTTTGGAATGTTATTTTCTCTTGTAATGAAGTAAAATAAAAGTTTAACTAAAATCATTTTTATAAACAAAAAATGGTTTATTATTGCGATTTTTTTCGGAGTTTTTAATGATTGAATTCAACAGAATAACTCATTTGCAACTCAAACAAGCCTTGTGGTGAGTCCAATATTTTGACAAAATTAGTTTGTAGAACCTTTGCAATGGAACTTCTAATGTTGTTAGAAGTGACGGAGGATTTTGAAATACAACGGCGAAACGAAAAATGAAACTCAGACTATTTTATGTACACAATGAAAGTTTTCTTTGTAATTTTATTTATTTTTTTGGTTTTGAAATAATATCTGCTTTATATGTAAATTTACTTTATCGAGAATGTTACGCGTCGCAATACAGGAAGGATCAATATAAAATTAAAAAAAAATCATGTTAATATGATTAACCAATGTTTGCTTTTCTAAAGGCCTCAAGAAAAGCGTTAATTTAAATTTTCTTTGCTGTATTAGCCTTCGAGTAAAGTAAAAAACTTCTATAAAGTGTTGAATATTCAAATTATAATAAACTCATTGTTTTTCATTAATAGGAAAGTTTTGCTCATGATTAGTGCGAGGGAGGGAAATTGAAGCAATAAAGAAAACAATGGAGATGAAAATAAAAATATGACCACCGAAGCCGACGTCTTCAAGGGGTACCGGCTTCGGAAGCCGTAAAACAAAACCTTTTCCATTGAGAGAGAGGACAAATGCCAAAATTAACTCTCTCAGCACCCCGAAGGTTTTGTAGAGAAGTCCAAGAAAAAATACATGAAATTCATAAAACCAAATCAGAATAGAAATTTCAACAAATCTTGAGAAAATAAAAACTCACATTAAACCGGTCAAACAGCGATTTCTCAAATAAACTAAATTCAAAGGGAACTCTAATTCAAAAGAAAACAACGCCCTCTATTAAAATGCGTAGAATGAAAAAAAGAATAGTAAAAGAAAAGATTACGTAACAAATTAGCATAATGCTTAACTGGGGCTGCTCAGCTAAGACTTGACTTTCGCCCTGTTAAAAGAAATAATAAACTAGTATTCTTCAATCATTTTCTTATTCAAAAAATTAATATTACAATAATTAAAAGGAAAATCATTATTACTCAAATTATTCAAAAAATGCTAGGGAGGGAAACGCATTATGCTAGGGAGGGAAACGCATCTTAACAAAGAAGTTATAAATAAAACATTTTTTAACAATATTAAATTTACTACTTTTTCTTATTCAAAATATATTTGATATTAAAAGTCGTTTTTTCTCACGTCAAAAACAACGCCATATAACAACAACCTTTCTAAAATATATACTCTCTGTCTACATAATCAACAAAAGGCACGAGCCAAACTAAAGTCTTTTGGGAGCCAAAGTTGTTTATGCGCTCCAAGCAAAGCATTACTCGAGAGGGCATCCAAAACTAAAATTGATTCTGGAAAAGAGATTTTCAGCACTTTTTACCTTCAATAAACTTTATATAGAGGCTGAAAAAAAGAAAGCGAACAGAGAAACTTTTCTGCTGCAATGAAATATTCGTAGAACAAAGTCGAAAGAAGCTTATTTTTGAGAAATGAACCGGTCAAGTGGCTTTTTACTTTGAGAATTTAAAGCAAAGGAAAAAAAAGGGAGCTTAGAGTTGTTTGTTATCTGTTCAGTTTTGAATTTCGGTTTAATTGAATAACCGAAAAAAAAGTGTTTAGCACAGTTTTTTTTAAAAATATATTTTTTAAATTAGGATATGTTTCAAAATTTATAAACTTTAAAAATGAACTTCGAGGTGGGGTATACTTTTAGACGACCTTATTTTCTGACAACTCTGCATTTTCAAAACTTCAAAAATTGCCGATCCATTGAAGAAAAAGGAAAAAATAAATAAAATGGCGTGCTTTGCAGCAGTCTGCTAAGGAAAAAATATATTTATTCTGACGAATTCTCAAAATTATTTACAAAGTTGAGAAACAGATGGCACTACTACATTTATTATTAGTTATATGAGTGTGTGAATTTTTCCAATGTATAAAGATAAAATAGCAACTGAATATCCGTTTTTCGTAAGCAAATCATTAATAAATCGGTATTAATCAAAACTATAAAGTCATGCACATTATCGAAGGGCATGAGAAGGCACAATTAATAAACACAAATCATATCTTTTTTTATTTACTTCAGGAAGCTTTGCATTCTGCTCGCTCCGTTCACAAACCCCCCAGAGGTGGCCTCTTATCCATCTTTATACTTTTTTTCTTAAAAGTCGGCATCTTTTAAAAAAAAAATAAATAAATCAGAATTTTGTAAATAAAAAATATAATTATTTTAATTTTATGTCAAAATATTTTACGGTTATGTTAACCCCTTCCTCCTCGCTCCCGGGAAAATAACGTGCTGAGGTTTCGCCCTCTATTTCTCGCTCCCGTAATATTTCCGGGCTGGAGTGCTCAGTAGTAACGCGCCAATAACAATAAAACTAATTCATTTCTTTTGCCAGGAAAACATTTTATTTCTTATTTTACACACCAGATGGCAGAACCAGGATATTTTTAAGGTAATTGTAGATAGTTGGTTTATTTTAAACTAGATGTCAGCACTAATCAAATAGCAGTAATTAAAAAAATAGGAACTTTTATGACCGTTTTCTTGAAAATTAACCGATCATTAAGAGGTTAATAGTATCAAAATTAACGATTACTTGGATTTGAATTGCATTTCAAAAAAATATTTTAACTTCAGAATGCGAATGTATGACACAAAAAGAAATAATAAGTGCTAAATAATTTCGCTTGTAATCTACAACCATAACCTTATACTCTGGAAATGTTTTTTTTTAATCTTTCTCAAAACTTTTACGTTTTTTAAATATGTCGATATAAATGTTATGATTCGTATCTGGCTACATGCAATCCTTTTGGCTCTCAAAACTATTTTTTTAATTCATTTTTGGTTACTGCTGAAATGAAGTAAAGGGCGAGCAAATGAAAATTTCGGCGAGATAAAATTTTCGACTGCAATGAATAAATAATCATTACTTGAAGTTAAAAAAATCACATCGAAAGCACTTGAAGTTACAATAAATTTTGAACAAATTAGAATTTCGAATAAAAAAGCGTGTTAAATTTTTAAATGAAAATGGCCCTTTTAGCACGTAAAATTCTAACCCTGTAGTTGCGTTTAAGCTGGCAGAAGGGATAGTAGATCGGTCAACATGTTATGAGCTGCTAAACTTTTGATAAAAGAATCTTAAATTAATAATCCAATCTTAAAATTTTTTTTTATTCCTTCAAACTGCTTGAGCATTTTTCTACGCACTTTCATAATTTCTAGCTTCTAAATTTCACTGATTTTACGCAGAAAAATAGAGCGAAAAAGTGAGTTTAAGTTTCTAAGCAATAAGTGTAAAGTGTAAGTTTCTAAGGCTTGCAGTTGTAGCAAAAGGTAACATTAAGTTGAACACATAAAGCAGTGGCGACTGTGGTGTTTACGATTTTTCAATATAGTACGAGTTTTCAGTTATATATCGACCATGTCAATAGTGACTTTAGGTTATTTATTAGATTAAGAAAGAGACTATTTTAGAAGTTTAACTTATCAAAATGTTTAACCGTAGTCAGTATTATAAGTTTCCAAAAATTATTCTAATTAATTTAGTCCAACAAGTTTTTCAAAATTTAACCAAAATCAAGCCATTTTCTCCTATAATTCTTCTCTTTAGTGCAGAAATAAATTCTTTACTTCATTTACGGTTGATTTTAAAGTAGGTAGGATGGTACTTTATTTACCTCGCACTAAGCCGAACAATGGTGGGCTATTGGCGACGGTCTGGGAAACATCCCTGCGATGAACAGAAGACATGCCATCGTAATTTTAATCCTCTTCAGAGGGGATGGCTCCCCTGCTTTGGTAGCTCGTCGACCTGCGCGCGAAGTCGAGCACTTTATGATAGCACAGTTTAAAGAGGATCGATACCGAGCACCCTCTGTCCCTACGCAGGCTGATCAAAGTAGTCACCCACCCTCTTACTGACAGCAGCCAGTGATACTTGACTTCGGTGTTCTACTGTGAACCGTGTCCTTACGATCAGTCCACTGCGCGACACTGTTGATTTTAAATTATATAGTTTTGTAGAAAAACGTTTCAAATATATAATCACATGCAAAATAAATACCTGGTTTCAGATATGCTCTCTTCGTGACTTAGAAGATATACTCTTCTGTGACTTCTCTTTCAACTCATCCACTTTCATCCTTCGGCAAGGCTGAACTTGATTGTAACAGTTTGTATACAGGCTTGCTCAATACCTAAATGTATTAAGATAGAACATCTTATTTCAAGTCATCCACTAATCTGAACTGTTTGAAAGTTTTGTGTATCATTTGTCACCATAAAAAATGGTGACAACTATTTCCCAAGGAGCCAAAATCCCAAGGATTGTTCCTGATGTTGTGAAACTTATAATGCTCTTTTACATTACTTGGTGCAAAGCGGCCAAAAACAACAACCATGTTAGTTATTTAGTTGCACTAAAATTATTAAAGTATGATATGATACCCATCAAGAATCAGTAAATTTATTTTTACTAGACAATATAAAGTAAGAATCAGAAATTTAAGTTGCATGCATACTCTAATTTTTAATGTAAAATGAGTTTGTAAATGAAAGATAAGCGTAGCAAAGAGGATTTTAAGAATAAATCGAATTAGGCTTAACAGAGCATGAGCGCATAGAACATATACATTAGAAAATTTTTCATAGATTACACAGGTAATTAAAATATAGAAGTCTTCATTACGCAACTAAATACATACGTATCTTTAACGGAGAATTTTAGTTTCGACAGATGAAAAGCAATATTGAAGACAGCAGCAAACAATTGCCAACTCGTTATCGATTGTAAACACAGACGACATGGAAACGCGCCAACATTGGCGTTTTCTAAAGAGAAAATAGTTAACGTATTGTGCAAAAGCGAGTGATCTTTTAGCATTTTCGGTGTTTGGAGCTTGCTAATACCCTTTAAATTGTCTATGAAAGCTCAATTTGATGCTCTTTCACACAACTTTTAGGGTTGTTCAACATGAAATTTTGAGAAATTTCAACCTTTAAATTTTCCAGTATAGCTACGAAAAAAAACTAAAGCTTTTGCTAGAAAGCACATTTAAATTTTACACTGTAGAAACGTGTTCTAGTTGTCTGGGCAAGTAAAAAATAACGTATTTCGAAATTTAATTTGTGATTTTAATATTGTATAAAATAGAATTGTACAGTACTTTTAGAACGTTTTCTTATGTGAAAAATTTGTCAACTAGATGATATTTCAAATATTATCATCAATGTATTAGGAGTCATTGGAAATCTTGGAATGACAATTTGGATTTTATTATATAGGATGATTTTGTGCCTTTGAAAATTATTCAGTAAAATAATTTTTAAATAAAACAATATTTGTTACTAATTATATTAATTAATTTGTAAGGTTTTCGTTGATTGTAGAAAATATAGATTGCAAAGAAATAATGATGCATAAAAGATATTAGACATCGATAGCTTATGAAATTATTAATAATATAGGTTTTAAATTTCCCTGGTATTTTTAAAGATAAATTTGAAGAAACTAATAATTTTGTGATGAGATAAAGCATATTTTGCAATTAGAAATAACTTTAAAATAACTCCTTTTCCATAATTCAGTTTTGACAAGGAAGAACCAGAAGTACTGGCAAAGTGTATCAGCTTCAACATTTGTTTATGTATGAGTGTTACCAGCCAACTAAAAGCAACATTGTTTTTGTGATGGTCCATTCTAATGCACTGAGGCAGCCATATATGTTACAGTTAACTAACTGATATAGTTCAGTCTTGAACTGACATAATTAAAATAAAATAAATAATAAAAAGAAGAAAAAGAATAACTGCTTTGATTAAACTGAGCTATAAGCTGACAATTACCACATCTTGCAAAAACTGGAGAAAAAAAAACGTTTGCAGTTTTATTTGTAACAAAACCTAAGACTAGAGCCCCTGAATTAGACGTATAGGAGTATAGGAGCCTTTCCTAAGGCTAAGCTAATAAGATACATGCAAGTGACATAGTGTGGGTGACATCTTGATTACGATTAGTTGCTGAAACGTGGCATTTGTTTGCGTTAGCAACTGTTTTTTTCCATTCTAGTTCTAGTGAGCCAAGCCCGTTTAACATCAATTTTCCTAAGTGACACGTTCTGTATTCTTACGCCAAAATGATTTCACAAAGATTTCAGTTCTTTCACTATATATTTTTACTTAACGTAAAAAAACAGGCAGGAAGCCATGCGGAACATTAACTATTAATTATGCATCGAAGTTGCCAGGTACACAAAACAAAAATCTATTACGGTTATATTAAAATACATAACAAATCTAAGCTAAAGACGTAAGCGAGAAAGAATTATATTTAAACAAATTTGATGATTACGGCGCTTTATTTAATTAACTTCACGTTAATTAAATACAGCACCCTATATAATATATAGCTTTTTATATAATAGACAGCGACGTAATAGATCTAATTAACCTCACGATAATTAACATTCTAAATTTGTGGAGAAACTAAGATCAACTTTAACTCGCCATTTTGCTTGCAAGCCATCAGCTGGCTCTGACGTCATAAGTCATATGTGAGGTCACGTGTGAGGGTATCTGATCTTCTTGAAGTTCAAGCATCCAATTCTATGTAAAAAATGTATCTTTTAAATTTCCCACTCAAGCGGATTAACTGAAATTCGTAAATGAATTTTGAGAATGGATTCTAAAAATACGCCCTGCAAACTTCGCAGTTCTGGCACAAATGGTTTGGAAGGGCACATAGAGAGAAACTTTTAATTTTGTTATTATAGGTATGAAATTAAAAAAAAAAGAATAAAATACATTAAAAAGAAAAAATGATAATTTGAAACGTATTTTAACCACTTTTCTTTCCATTATTACTTTTACTATGCCCATTAATTAGCACTGCTAGTTAAACTTTATACCGAATTGGAATACAATTTACTTAAACGGAACATTTAAATCACTTTCATGTCTCTCCGGGAACTATTCTAATTTTGCCAGTTTGATTGTCTTATCGTTCAAGTGTAAAGAAAGGTGATAAGAGAGGAATTAAATCAGGTATTATCTGGAGTTTTAGAGTAATGAGATGGGGGTTTTGACATCTGACGAGTTTAGTTTAACCCTCTAAACACCGACTAATTGGATGGGAAACGTGAGGCATGCATTTCCCAATCAACTCTATCAACTGAAAGTGTTATTATAACAGATTCCTCTTCAATGTTAACCTTTCGAAATGTTTATTTAATGGACAATTGTCACTGTATTATTTAAACAATGTGTATGCATCATTTTTAGAAAGTAAATAACTGCACGGGCTATACTACAAGACTGTATATAATCAAATGTGTTTCCGGTTGCTCAACATGATTTTGATGATGTTTATTCCACCTTTAATTTCTTCATGAACTCAGTTATTTTATGATTGGTCAAAGATTAAAAACAATTGCATTTTTTTTATCGATTTATCCTCAAATATTACTTAATCTGTTTAATATAAGCTATTTTATAGAAACACATACAAATTAAAAAGAATAGAATGCTAATAAGAGTAGTCATTTTTTATTAAAACAAAGCTTAATATACTATGCATTAGGTTGTTGGGAAAGTAATTTTTTTTTATAAAAATGAAAGTCTATTTTATTACAGTAAATTAATGATTTATTGAATCATATATAGTCAATTCTGATCAAATACTTATTGCCATATTTCTATCAATACCATTACTCCTGGCGCATAAAATGTTTGTTATTTACTGGTAAAAAATTGACCCAAGTGATTTTTCACTTTCTTGTTTAAAGCAACCGTTTTACCATCTTAAAGGTTTTGTAGAGCCCTGAATATTGTTGTAGGCAACCCATTTCTTGTTTCCAGTGTTTATGAGCTTCAAAAAAATTTTTTTTTGACGTTTGAGAAGCTAATCGCAGACGTCAACGCGACGGAATAATTTCGCTCTGTAAGAACATGAGGAACCACTAAGTCTTTCCTGGAGAAAAAACTAAGCCATACAGGCATATCTGAAGGGCAGATTTGTTGGCTACTCTTTCAGGGGCACCATATTAGGAGGGCCAACGTTGCTCCCGCTCAGTGAGAACAGATAGTACAGAGAATGAAAGGACATACATGTCTTGCCCCGGATTCGAACCCAGAACCTTTCTGATGCAAGGCTAGTTCTCTGGCCCCTACACAGGCCGGTCGGCTAGAGCTTTGAGATGAGAACTTAGGTTTTTCAAAGGGTAACGAACAATCGAATAGGATAAATCCAAATTTTCATCGATCTTAAGACTTGTTATTCGTGAGTTTACTATAATTAATGCCTTTATTCTGTCTCCATCGGCTTTAAATGGCGTAGTGAATTTTTATGCATCTTAATCGATATTTCGCTGGATTGAACATTTGCGAACCAGTTTTCGCACTGACGCACTGCAAATACATTTTCTCCATTCACACCTGACAACTTTTTTCTTGTTTCAACAGCATTTTTGTGGTTTCGATAGTAAAAATGTAAAAAAGTAATATCTAAGTAATCAGAAAATATAGATTAATCTGTAAGCATCATTTAATTTGTTCATCATATATAATGCAAACTATTCCATCAAAAAAATTTAAGGGGAAAAAGATTATTAGTAAGAAGACACTTTTTTTCAAAAATAAAAGCATAATAAGCTATACCATGATCCTAAAAGTTTCATTCGGAAACGTTCTGATGCATCAATAAATATTTATTCCAGCTAAAGAAAACGAAAAACAACGTTTCGAAGCATTTTTTTCTCATTTCTCCCAGAGATTATTCGAGCCCATTATTAAAATTGTAATCTCATCAACCTAAACATGCATCTCATTAAAAATAATAACCTTTACACTCAATAATATAACACATGCGTGATTAAGTAGTCTTTCCTGGAAGCTTTAACTTAATACTCCCTCTTTACTTTCTTTCTTTGTTTCATTTACTCGAGCTCTCTCCGTCTTTAAATTTTTATTAGTTTCCCCTGATTTTTCCTTCTATTCAAAGGTAATCTTAAGTAAACATCTTTCTTGGTATTAAACTGAGATAAAATGGAGGAAATAGCGAATGTAAATATTATCTGGGAAACTAAAGAAGATACTTTGGTAAACCTTTTACGACAGTTCTGCTTCGAATAATTTGATTTTTGCTGGTAAGAGGGGGATATTGAGGATAAAGCGAAAGGGATGGGAACACTTATTATTAAAATACTAGTTTTCTGTTATTATCCTCATTGCGTTTGGTCGCAGATTACAGTAAATAAATTATTTATTCATGTAAAACTTTTTAATGAGGAAATTCTTTGCTCATCTAATTATTAATATGAAATTTCCGAAAAGTTGGACAGTTTAATTGGATTACAATAAACTTGCTCTTGTGATTAATTCTTATGGAACAGTGCCCCTCAAATAAGTTTTTCTATGTTTCATAAAATAAAAAATTTAAGTATTTATACTTGCTAAGATAAAAAGAAATATTAAAAAATCACTCGTATTTGTGAATCAATTATAATACAGTTTTGTGATCATTATCATTTCTCTTCTCAAAGTTTTGGTCACTGGATTCATTCTACGATGCGCAAAAAAATAAACGGACATCCCTAAATAGCTTTCGATCTAATTATTAGATCTTTACGTTCTAAGACCCAAGTAATGAAATGAAATACCAAAACGTACTTTCTCTGAATAAACATACCCTTTTCTCGACGGATTTGGATTTCCGATCCTCTAATTAGTCACAATCTTTGAAATATGGTCCAAACAGTTTGGTTAGGAGAGTGATCCAATGTTTAAAATTCTTTATTTGGATTCGTATTTATTATTTGGA